GCTTTTTAAAATCCAAGGCAAAGTTCCACGCGAAGAAAATTCTTACTGGACGAGCTGATGTTCTTTGCACTTAATGCAAAAACATAGCTCATGTTACGAGGTTTATATAGAGTGCTTGATAGTTTTCTTGCGTCATTTGCTTCACACAGAAAATTGCAAAAAAAAAAAAAAATGTGAAAAAATCGTGTTTTTCGTACTACTTAAAAATAAAAGCTTGAATAACTTCATTTTTTATCCGATTATATTTAAACATATCACAAAAAAAATCATGCCAGAAATGAAATAGTGTATCCTCGTTTCCCTGCGTATAGCGAAAAACTACGAAAAACTGTTCTAAAAGCCAGTTTTTCGGCCATAGCTCCCTGGATTTTCATCCGATGCCTTCCAAGTTTGCCATGTAAATTACACATGACACAAAATTTGTCTTGCATAAATGTTGAGTGGTGGAAATCTGCGAAAAACTAATTTCTTCATATAATTCCATCCTAAATTAGCATTCGAACAACCTTTTATGCAAAGATTACTTGAGAAGGATTACTGAAGCTTTAAAAAAGACAAGCTCCCGAAGATCCTCTTATCAACCCCAGCTTTACAGTAAAGGTGCGAAGAAGGAGGGGACTTTATGCGTTTGCACGTGCAGTTGCATCAAGCTCTGACGCTTCCTCCTTGTTTTTATTTGATTATTAGATTTGTGAACAATGCTATGCTATTTAAAAGATATCACGGTTATAGGAAATTTATTAAATATCTAAAACATTGAAACAATTTAACCCCGGGTAACGACCACACAAGGTTTTATCGATGGAATTATTAAGAATAATAAGAACATGCCTTAAAAAAATATGTGGTTGGAGTAGACAGAGGCTGTGGGTGTACATTGGGTGTGGTCATACCACTGCAAACATATGCACGTTTCTTTACCAACGCGTTTTGTCCTCTGGTGGACTTTATCAAGATAAATGTCAGGATTTTACATTTCGGCATGTGTTTATAAACAGCAGTAAAAATATCGTTAGGTTTTCAAATTTTTTCAATATAATTTTTGCCGTTCACTATATATATATATATATATATATATATATATATATATATATATATATATATGTGTGTGTGTGTATTTAGACAACATTTTCTCATTCATACATATTTTATTAAATAATATAGACAAGTGTTGTCTATTTATTTTATGTAAATTCTTTCATTAAACGAAGAAAGAAAATCACAATATTGATCCAATCTAAACTTTCGGCTTACATAAGCCATTATCAAAGATGACAATTACAGTACAAGATATTAAGCAATACACGGACAAGAATGTGATGATAGTCTGTTTCTGTTTACATGGAAGATTTCCAAGCAACGATAAACACGTGCATATAAAACGCTTAATCAGATGTTATAAAAAGAATTTACATAAAATAAATAGACAACACTTGTTTACTAAGTACTAAATAACGTATCAAATTTTTGTGTATTTTTTTTTTTTATGACAGACATTAATTTTGAAAATTTTGCAAAAATAGAAATCATTGTCGGATTTTAATGAAACTTTCAGAAACTATTCAGAAATAATGAAAATTATTATAAATATGTTATTTAGGTTTTAAAGTCATGATAAAAAAATATTTTTATATATATATTACCCCACCCGATAAATAATTTTATGAAAACTCTAGAAATTCAATTTTGGAGCACGCAAGTCTGTTATATTAGTTAAAAACACAAGGTCTTGAGGAAAGTAAATCATGTTTTGTTTTCTTAAAAATCCGACCTCGTCTACCTAAAAATCAGCTCTGAATTGTAACATACAAGACAATAAAACAAAGATATTATTTAATGTCAAATGCTTTTAGTTACTTTTAGTTGTTTTTATGAATATGCCTAATATTGTCTGGAGAGTAAGATCAGGGAAGCTCCCGTCCAGATGTGATAACAGTTCTTCATTTTTTGGCTTTATCTAGCTATTGTAAAGGGAGAGGATTTTGGAAGATAAATTGTTCACATATCAATAAGTATCTTATAATTTCTCATTACTCAAGTTCCATGACCATTTACAACAGAATTTCTCAACATTTTTACCCTTGTGAAAACCATTGAAATAGTTTTTATGTCTCAGGGAACTCTTGCATAACAATTATTATATACGATTATTAATATCGGTTCTATATTTTTTATCGTAATTCGAGTAGTAAAAATAATGTAAATGGCGTAGCTACTCGAATCCGAGAATGCCCGTCTACTAGGGCGACTAGCTAATCCTCATTGTAGACGCTCGCTCAATCACATTTGTGTTTGTCCAACACCCACAGAGAGTATACCTGTGGTATATATTTCAACTATTCTGAGCGGACCTTACTTACAGTTTCTGGGAGAGAGCGCGTTATTTAGCATGATCAATAGAAAGAAAGTTGGTTCGCCGTGTCGTGCTAGACAATTTTTCTCTCCTGAATCTATCTTACGAATCTATAAGTCAACCATTCGTTCATGCTTTGAATATATGCATTTATATTAATCTGTTTTAATAGGTAGCAGGTTTAAAAATGATCTAAAGTCTGTTGTTAAAATCAGACAAGAAATGGCTTGTTAATTTCAACGCCTCCAAAACGAAACTACAATGTTTTTAATCGTCCGAGAGAACCATTTTTACCTTCCTGCATCATGGCTGATGCTAACCCCCAAGCGAGAGACTGATTGCGTCTTTTCCGCTGATATAAAGTGGAAAGATTATATTAAATCAATTGCTTGGTTTGCTGCTAAGAAAGGTGGTTCCTCGTGTAGTGCTAGACATTTTTTCTCTCCAGAATTTGTCTTACATATCTATAAGTCTACCATTCGTCCATGCTTAATATATTGCTGCTACGTCTGGCCTGATGCTCCTGCTATACATTTTAGAACACCAGATGAAGATTTCCAACAAGTAGGAAATCAACAACAACAACCTTCCTGGTGTCATCAGTTCCCAACACGGTATCTAAGCTGATGACACAACAATTTACTCCTGTCTTAATAGTAAGTCTGATAGCTGATCTCAAAAGTGAGCTTAAATTTGTTGTTAACTGGGGCAAACAATGACTTATTAATCAACACGTCCAAAACGAAACCGATCTCTATTAATCGTCTTATAGAACCTTTTTAACCTTCTATCAGTATGACTGATACTAACCTCCAGGAGAGTGACTCATTGTGCTTTCTCAGACTAGCGTTTTCCGATGACGAAGTGGAAAGATTATACTGAATCAATTGCTAGGTCTGCCGCTAAGAAAGTTGGTTCCTCGTGTCGTGCTAGACAATTTTTCTCTCCAGAATTTATCTTACATATCTATAAGTCTACCACTCGTCCATACTTAGAATATTGCTGCCACATCTGGCCTGGTGCTCCTGTTATATATCTGGAGATTATTGATAAAATCCAAAGATGATTCTGCAATGTTATCTGTTCTAACCTGATATATCAGCTTCAGTCACTCTCCCACCACTTATCGTATATTTCCTGTGTCTTTTCTATAAATACTGTTATGGTAATTTTTATAGTGAACTTACTACTAGTTGTTATTTTTATTCCCCCACAAACAAATTGTACATATGGGAACTAGTTAGGACTTCATAGAGACTCTGAGGTATTATGGTGGCTGTAGTAATAATGCTAATTAAGAATGTGTTGTTTTGGTGTAAGGAATACTGTGATATGTTTGGGTCAGTAATCGTGGCGAGTTAAGTAAGATAAGACAGATTGAAGATCAGCCTTCCCAATACCCCACATCGCCTTGTGCTATATTTTTGTATTTTTCAAAATAGGTATTATTTATCACTATGGAATCTAGATTTTATGAATTTAAGCGCGCAGTACTAGATTGGCGGAAAGGTTTCATCATTTAACAGTTGAAATTGCTACGATTTTTCTATAGTACATCATATCAATGCAGCTTCGGATTTCAGGGTCACATTTTTTGATTCCAGCTCTATCCTTGAACCTAGGTCTTTCCTAAATTTCATGAACGATGTTCCTGGTGTCATCATTTCTCAACCCGGTATGTATTGCTCATGACACAACCATTTACTCCTGTTTTAATAGTAAATCTGATCCTTTCGATAAGGTCAAATTGCCAACTGATCTAAAAAATGATCTAAATTCTGTTGTTAACTGGGGCAAGCAATGGCTTGTTAATTTCAACGCCTCCAAAACGAAACTACATACTTTTTATCGTCTTAGAGAAGCCTTTTTACCTTCTTTCATCATGGCTGATGCTAACCCCCAGGCGAATGACTCATTGCGCCTTTTCCGCTGTTATGAAGTGGAAAGATAATATTGAATCAATTGTTAAGTCTGCTGCTAAGAAAGTTGGTTCCCCGTGTCGTGCTAGACAATTTTTGTCTCCACAATTTATCTTACATATCTATAAATCTACGAATCGTCCATGCTTAAAATGCTACTGACACATCTGGCCTGGTGCTCCTGCTTGTGAACACACTTTTGACTTCTTGCTTCCATGTCAAGTGTGGTCTTCAAAAATTTAAATCCAATGTCAGTCGTTATTTCTGTCTTAATTCATGTGCTTTTATTGTTCTTTTCCTTAATACTGTTTTTTTTCTTCTCATATTCTCTGACACTCAATAAGCTCTTGTGTCCTAGTGGCTTTATTGCCTTGCTTACTGTACTGTACTGATGCGGCATTCATCCTGGGCGGATTGAGCCAGCTTCTTCCTGTTATGAGAAGAAGATTCTTGGGATAAATTACAGAAGTAGGGTACCCAGGCCTACTCGAATAACGTTCTTGCTTGCCGCGGGATTCCCACAGACGCAGAGACAGGAACGACCAGAAGCCGCAGGTTACCGATGCAGACGCTCCTTGGATTTTCACCAGAGCCCTTGTTAGCCGGCGTGTGTGTCAGACCTGTCCGCCTTGGGTGGCCCTACCAGGAACGAAGTTCCGGGCGGCATAGCTCTGACACTACCGTTTACACCCCCCACCGACTGTGAGGTAAGGGTTGGACTTTGGGGGCTTACAGTACCAGGTGTTCCCAAGCGGTCCCCCATCTAAGTACTGACCTGGCTCTACGATGCTTAACTTCGGTGATCGAACGAGAACTGGTGTTTCAGCGTGATTTGACCGTAAGCTTGGGGTGGAATGATTAAAAAAAATTAAGCTACTGTATTTGTTTGATTTTAGCGTATCGAATTCATTGTTCGCATTTTGGGATTACTCTTTGAAAAGTGCCCATATCTAAAAGAGAATGAAATATTTGAAGGGAAGATGTTATTCGTTTTCCAAGAAGTGGTAAGCTCGGTGAAATTTAGCAGAATACGGATTTTTTGAAATTGCTACGATTTTTCTATAGTACCTCATATCAATGCAGCTTCGGATTTCAGGGTCACACTTTTCGTTTCCAGCTCTATCCTTGAACCTAGGTCTTTCCTAAATTTCATGAACGATGTTCCTGGTGTCATCATTTCTCAACCTGGTATGCATTGCTCATGACACAACCATTTACTCCTGTTTTAATAGTAAGTCTGATCCTTTCGATAAGGTCAAATTACCAACTGATCTAAAAAAATGATCTAAATTCTGTTGTTAACTGGGGCAAGCAATGGCTTGTTAATTTCAACGCCTCCAAAACGAAACTACAAGCTTTCATTTCGTTCTTTTTCTTAATACCATTTCTTTTGAGTGAAAGAATAGCTTCCGAAAATCATCTGATTAAAATGCGCCAAAGAACGCTGAAGTCATTGTCATTTTAAAATAAAAACGTCTTCGTTATTATTTTCCTTTCAAAAGGTTGTGTTAAAAGACTTAGGGTTTATTAAAAAGCCAACAAAATGGCAACTCTCCTGTGGACGCTATTTTCAATTTAATAGAACCATTGCTCTGCTGTAGAACGAATTAATGTTTTTTTTTTCACTGAGTTACAAAATTAAAATTATTTATCTTAACGAGCCGATATCGAATCAGAAAGCGGGAAGATTTCGAAGCGCCTGAGGACTGGGTTTTATTGATGGATTAAAGCAGATTTCACACCATTTGCTTGCCTCGAACTACGACAATGTTTGGCATTCACAATCTGCTGTGGCTAGAGAATCTAAAATACACAAATTATATTGGCAGCATGAGAGGAAAAATCTGTCATAGCAAAACAATTTAATAAATGAGGTCAATTGTTCAATAGAATTTAATTACATTAGTTTAAGTAATAAAAGAAAAAAGAGATTGGAGAAGAAAGAAGGAAAGAAAGAAAGAAAAAAAGAAAGAAAGGAAAAAGAAAGAAAAAAGAAATGAAGAAATATGAAGAAAAGAAACAAAGAAAGAGAATGAAAGCAGAAAAAGAAAGAAAGTAATTAAAAAAAGAAAGAAAAAATGAAGAAAAGAAAGAAAGTAACGTAGCGAAATGAAGAACGACAGGAAGGAAGGAAGGAAGGAAGGAAGGAAGAAAGAAAGAAAGAAAGAAAGAAAGAAACAAACAAACAAACAAACAAACAAACAAATAAAGGAAGGGGGCAAACAACGAAATTGTTGAAGCTTAAATAAGCATGGAATAATACAACACAAAATGTACGTTAACAAAATGTATTGAAACAAAGAATAGGTACACAATATTTACAGTTAGTTTGGTATATTCTTGGGAAGACTGTTCCTGCATAATGGGTTGACTAAATCGCAGTCGGGCAGAGTCTCTGGATTCAATTTCTTAATCTCTACTATCTTCCCCGTCTTCCGGTACCAACCCATATTTATATGGTCGGTAGTCCGCTTATGTAAATTAGGTGTATCATACACAACAGAAATAAATATAGAAATATAAAGAAACGAAATCAAAAAAGTTAATGAAAGCAGAAAAAGAAAGAAAAAAGAAGAAAATGAAAGAAAAGGAGGGAAAGAAAGAAGGAAAGGGGAGCGGACAAAGAAAGAAATGTAGAAATATAAAGAAAAGAAATAAAGAAATAAAGAAATAAAGAAAGAAAGAAAGACATTTAAAAAAGATGAAGAAAAGAAAGAAAGAAATGTAGGGAAAGAAAGAAAGAAAGAAAGAAAGAAAGAAAGAAAGAAAGAAAGACATTTAAAAAGATGAAGAAAAGAAAGAAAGAAATGTAGGGAAAGAAAGAAAGAAAGAAAGAAAAGAAAGAAAAGAAAGAAAGAAAAAGAAAGAAAGAAAGAAAGAAAGAAAGATGAAAGGGGAGCAGACAAAGTAAGAAATGTAGAAATATAAAGAAAAGAAATAAAGAGAATAAAGAAAAATAGGGAAAGAAAGAAAGAAAGAAAGAAAAAAGAAAGAAAGAAAAAAGAAAGAAAGACATTTAAAAAAGATGAAGAAAAGAAGGAAAGAAAAAAGAAAGAAAGAGAGAAGGAGAGAAAGAAAGAGAGAAAGAAAGCGAGAAAGAAAGAAAGAAAGAAAGAAAGAAAGAAAGAAAGAAAGAAAGGGGAGCAGACAAAGTAGGAAATGTAGAAATATAAAGAAAAAAAAATAAAGAAAGATAATGAGAGCAGGAAAAGAACGAAAGCAGTGAAAAAAACTGAAGAAAAGAAAGAAGGAAATGCAGAGAAAAAAAAGAAGAAAGAAAGGAAGAAGGAAGAAAGCAAGCAAAGTACGCAAAGAAAGAAAAAAAAAGAGAAAGATAGGAAAACAGACAAAGAAAGAAATGCAAACATATAAAGAAAAGAAACAATGAAAGATAAACTAAAGAAGAAAAATAAAGAACGAAAGCAGTGTAAGAAAGAAAGCAAAGAAAGAAAACGTGAACGAAAAGAAAATAAAATAGAAAAGAAAGAAAATATAAAAGATAATGAAAGAAAGGAGTAAAAGAAAAGCCTATGAAAGAAATAGAAATGGAAGAAAGGAAAGTAAGTAAAGAAAGAAAGAAATATAAAAAAATAAAAAAAAAAATTAAAAAAGAAAGAGAAAAAAAAAAAAAAAAAGAAAAGAAAAGTGGGAAAGAAAGAAAAAAGAAAAAAAAAAGTATGAAAGAAAAAAGAAAGATAACGACAAAAGAAAAGAAAGAACGAATGGCGGACAGAAAGAAAGGAAAAGGAATTAATGCATTTGAAAGAAAGAAAGGAAGAAAGAAAAAAGAAAAGAAAGAAAAGAAAGAAAGAAAGAAAACAAAAGAATGAAAACTGTCACTCAAATCGACACCATTTAAAATATAGTTGAAAGAAAGAAAGAAAGGAAGAAAGAAAGAAAGAAAAAAGAATAGAAAGAAAGAAAACAAAAGAATGAAAACTCTCACTCAAATCGACACCATTTAAAATATATTTGAAAGAAAGAAAGAAAGAAAAAATATAGAAAGAAAGAAAGAAAACAAAAGAATGAAAAACTCTTTCATGTCAAAGAAAGAAAAAATTTGAAGAAAAGAAAGAAAAGAAAAAAAAAAAAGAAAGAAAAAAAAAAATAAACTATAATGAAAGAAAGAAAATCCAATAAATTTGAAAAAAGAAAGAAAGAAAAGAAGAAAAGAATGAAAACTGTCACTCAAATCTACACCAAATTTAAAAATATATTTGAAAGAAAAGAAAGAAAGAAAAAAAGAAAAAGAATAGAAAGAAAAAAGAAACAAAAAATGAAAATTGTCAAATTCGACAAAATTTAAAATTAATACATTTGAAAGAAAAGAAAGAAAAGAAAGAAGAAAAAAATGAAAGAATGAAAACCAAAAAATGAAAATTTAAAAAATATTTGAAAGAAAGAAAGAAAGAAAAAAAGAAAGAAAAAAAATAAAAAGAAAAAAGACAAAGAAAAAGAATGAAAATTGTCACCAAATCGAAAAACATTTAAAAATTAAAGAAAGAAAGAAAGAAAGAAAAAAAAAAGAAAAAGAAAAGAATGAAAACTGTCAAGAAATCTACATCATTTAAAATATATTTGAAAGAAAACAAAGAAAGAAAAAAGAAAAAATTGAAAGAAAAAAAAAAAAGAAACTGTAGAAAAAATCTACAAATTTAAATCTAATACATTTGAAAGAAAGAAAGAAAAAAAGAAAAGAAAGAAAAAAAAAAAAAGAAAAGAATGAAAACTGTCACTCAAATCTACACCATTTAAAATATATTTGAAAGCAAGAAAGAAAGAAAGAAAGAAAGAAAGAAAGAAAAAAGAATAGAAAGAAAGAAAACAAAAGAATGAAAACTGCCACTCAAATCGACCCCGTTTAAAATATATTTGAAAGCAAGAAAGAA